GGTTAACTACTGCCAGCAGAACTTTCACACAGACGTGGTGTAACTGCATGTGCTTGTAGGCTCCTCGGCTCATTAATTATAAGCATAAACATTGTGATGAAATGCTGTAACTCATGATTGATTTTAATCATAATTACTGTAGATCGATTGCTTAATTGTGAAGGTAATTTGTTTAGTGTGACATCAGACAACGCAGCATCATTTAGATGTTTTAACGATGGAATCTTTAGGCATTTTTCCCTTAAACGTTTTTGCGGTTATAATGGGTCAAAACTGTTGTGGGTAATGCTAATTCATTTCAGCTGTAGTTTGATGTTCACAAAGATTGATTCATAAGAAGGCTTTTAACTCTGACCGAAATAATCACCAAACAAAATACTTTTTTTCCACAGTCATGCAAAACAAATGAGGCTTTACTCTTTTTTTCCATTCACTCTTTCTAGATGGTTCAGTCAAGCGGTGGAAGCAACCTAGCTGAGGAAATTAATTCGGCTGCAATGTACAGCATCTTTGTATGTTCACAGAAAAAGGTTACGTTTTTTTTGGGGGGGGGGGGGGGACCAGTCATAATCACACAGTCTGACTCACAGGATGTAGACAGTGGCCGCTTATTTCAAACAGAATAGTCCTCTTTCTTCTCTGTGAGCACATGTTGTTTTGAAGATCTCATCACAACTTGGGAAAAAAAAAAAACTTGTAACAATTAACTAATATGTTAAATTGACACGTATAGGTTAACATTTGGAGTATGGCATAATGACGAATTTTGCACATGCATAGGGACAATTTCGATTGGTTTAAAGGAATGCGAAAAACCCAAGGCATTTTTTCTCTGAGTGAAAAGGTCTGTGTAAAGTCAAACCTCCCTCCATTGCCGACACAGTAGATCCACTAGTACATACACCCACCGACCACTCTATTAAGCTCTCAGTTGTTCAACTGCATGTAGACATGGTCAAGACGATCTGCTGAAGTTCAAACTGAGCATCAGAATGGGGAAGAAAGGTGATTTCGGTGAGTTTGAACGTGGCATGGTTGCTGGTGCCAAACGGGCTAGTCTGAGTATTTCAGCAACTAGAAATCTACGAGGATTTTCACATGCAACCATCTCCAAGGGTTTACAGCAAAGTGTTAGAAAACGAGAAAGTATCCAGTGAGCGACGAAAAATGCCTCGTTGATACCAGAGGTCGGAGGAGAATGGGCAGACTGGCTTGTGCTGAAAGAAGCACAACAGTAACTAAAATAACCACTTGTTACAAAGCGGTATGCGGACAAGCATCTCTGAACGCACAACACGTCCAGTATTGTTGCTGGGTTAGGGTTATGCCACGAAGAATTGAGGCAGTTCTGAAGGCAAAAAGGGGATCCAACCTGGTACTAGTAAGGTGTACCTAAAAAAGTGGCCGATGAGTGTAAATATGGCGAGAAAAGACTAATGATTAAAGTCAACCGTTCCTTGAAAATGCCCTAAATATGCCTAAATATTCAGCTACTAACAATAACATTACTAACACAATAGGACTTTAGTCTTCACCAAAATATGGCAGACTACTTCTAGTGAAGTTCTTAACTTAAAAACGACAGGATCTGAATCACAAACAGCCTCAGCAGTCATTATAAATCACTTAACTTTCCCTTTGTAATCGAATTCCCATGCAAAAAAAAAGAAAGCTAATGGTTATTGCATGCTAATGAGGAAATATAACTGAGAGTAACAACACCCTGAGGAAAGCTCTTGATAAATGGTAATTTTTATATGACTGTGTTGCGCTGTGTTTGTACTTGTAAAAAATAAATAAATAAATAAATTAAAAAAAAAAGGAACACTACGGTAACACTCATGTCAGACTGAACATGAGGCACTTCTGCAGGTGATCACATGTAAGGCAAGGATCAAGTATGTGGCATTACTTAATGTTCTGTTCTATAAATGACTTGGCTATCCAGCTGGGATCAGTGGCTGGCATTGGGCCGCTGTCACCACCGCCATCTCCAACCTACGCATGTCTGAGCACGGGGGCCTCTCCACAAAAAGTCAAATGTCAGATGTTATCCATTCCCACTCACAGAGAAGGACCCAGGCCACATCGGGGGCTCAGAGGCCCTGCTCCCGAGCTGGTGATGGAAAAACACCATTACTGGGCTTGTTTTGCTTTGGAGCATGGCGGTTGTCATGATTGCACCATGACAACCATATTAACAACTGTTTATTTATTTTATATCTAACTGAGGATAGCTCCAGTGCAAGCTATCATTTAGAGCAAGACTCTGTTTCTACATTGAGACTACAGAAGTTGTGAATACTCTGTTGACGTATTTAATATAGAGGTATGATGACTGATGCATATCATAACTTATCTGAGCTGACAGAAATGCTGATTCATCAATACTTGGTAAAGTAAATTGGCATCTATATTTGTTCAAGTACTTTTTGCACAGAAGTGCTGATTTTTGTTATTTCATGTGAATAATTAAATGGTCCTGATCTTTTATTATCTTAAATTATTTTTCACTTCAGGAACAAAATGTCAGACAAAATAAGCTATTTCAATGTGTAAACTTGCACAGCTGAGAAGCTATTTTCATACATTTTATGCACCGTATATCGTTCGATAGGTCGATCTATCGCACACATTTTTTTTTTTTTTTAGATGCAGCTACATGGCTAATAAATGGCTAATAAAAACTATATAACTAATAAATATGGCAACATCTGTCAAAATCAGCAGCAATAATTTCAAATGATAAACTAATCCTCATTCAAATGCTGCTTAACCAGGTAGGCTTTTAAAAACTAATGCAAAACAGCTGCGACAGTCAATCAACGGGCATGATACAACAACAAAAGGCACATCTGACTAACACACAACTGATGGAGTTCATTAAAGCTAATGGCTGCATACTGGAAATTGCTCATTTATTCCAGTTTCTTTCTGTCCAGGATAAAAACAAGATGAAAATTATGCAACTTCCCCTGCCTCAGCTGATTAAAGTCCTATGAGTAATTACTATGCGGCAGTCCCGTTCAGGAGCATTATGATAATGCATTTCGAAAACAGGTGGATGCAAAGCACTTATGATAAGTTGGACTGACACCTTGTAGCAGGGCAAACTAGGCGGCTGAAAACAAATTACTTCACACCTATAGCCTGCAGTTATTTTGGAGAGGTGCTTTGTACACAGCCAGCATCCGTGTTGTCATAATAGTGATGCATTACCAAAACAATGACTTCTTGAAACTTGATGAATGAATAATGAGTTCAATTACTTTGTTGATCTCCACATCAGGTTTAGGAGTGAGCTCTCAGATTCCCTTACACACAGCCCCTCTAATGACTAATCAATACGTTTCAACCTGATTGAGACCACAGCGGACGCAGACCGTCACTTAGCAGAGGAGGAGAGCGGGAGTGGAAAAACGCAGAATTGAGACGAGCAATACAACGGCATCTCCAGTTTCAGATCCATACACCGCGAGACAGGCCGAGTCTCCAGATGATGTTCTAAAATCTCTTCAAAAACACATACTTGTCAAATCTATTTTTCATTACCCTTCAAGTGGCTGGAGACTGTGGGGGGGATGATCTCTTGAAATATTCATCACAAAAGCACCCACGACATGGTGTAACGCTCTCTGACCATTCAACCCTGTTTTGGTTATTTATTTGCTGGCTGCGGGGAGGGGGGGGGGATTATTGCAGTTATTATATGGTGTAACATTTTTTTTTTTCAACGCCGCAAGCTTAGCCTAAGAAAGCACTGAAGTAGAACTGAGTTTGCGTAAGAGCTCAGCGAGTAAACGATTCCAGTCATGGTCTTTTCAACCCCTGTAGCACTGCCTTTCCCAACTCAATCCTAATGTTTAATGGTCACTGATGATCTAATCATTTCAACCAGTTGAACCCCAGCAACTAAGCCTGAATAAAAACTACTCCAACAATTCCCTCTGATGTGCTTGTGTGCACACTGGGTTCGCTTGCACATGCCTGTTGGGATGTACTGGAGCCGGATAGGATAATGGATGCAACTGGTGCTGGAACAAAAAAAAAAAAAAAAAAACAGGCAGGACAGAAAACCAAAACACTGCTTCTGAGGGGGGGGGGAGGCTTGGGATTTGGTGTTCCAACATGGGGAAATGTAAGGTGCTAATATTCCAAAGCAGAAACAGGCTTCACTGCTGCAACTGGAAGTGGAGCAGTGCCTTTTAAGTCACCATGAAACGTCAACTGACATGAAACCTTTTGCAAGGCTACATTTTGCTCCAACTCCTTGTTCCAGGGGTTAGGTCGTGTCGATTATGATCTTCATTGCATTCTTATGGTAGGCTGCAAAGGTGGAATGCAAGACATTGTAAACACAGCAGGCAGGAAGAGCACGGCCCCATTATCGCATTTAGCACACGATGAACCAAATGTGTGATTACAAAACATAGGCGACATCAAGTAGAGTATTATGCAATGGTGAGGAGAGAGAGAGAGAGAGAGAAAAAAGAAGCCATGCTTAGTGATGCATGCAAAATAAGGGGGGGGGGGGGAATCGCCCCCGGGTTGCATTGGTTTTTTTTTTTGCAATATCTGCATGCATGTTGTAAAGCGACTGTACATAGGAATCGAAAATGACCACGCATCAGTCATACTATTCGTTGTCCAATGCAAACAGAGCACATTACAGACAAGCGGCTGTATCACGCCCCACATGCAGAATTGCACATATTTCTAAGAGGACACACACACACACACACACACACACACACATTTTGCTCGGGTCTCCAAAGTGGAGTTACCCCTCACTTCCTAGTTTACAGCTGCTGTCATATCTCGGCTAACACCCTTCTTCCTCCATAGCCAAGCAGACAAATTTCGACTACATTTACTCCTCCTGCTGCTCCTGCTGCTGCTTGCTGCTGCTGCGACTGTGCTTCCTCTGCCTGCTTCTCCTGGACACAAGGGAGAGCTGTGGCATTAACACAACAACAACAAAAATAAATAAATACACTTACATTTCACCACCCTGTCCGTCGTAGATAACTTCGGTTCATCATTCGGCTTGTTTTCGGACATTTCCAGTGTGATATAATATTGAGATATAGCAGGAAATTAAGACTGAAAACGGTCCCTTGCGTTGCTCTTGCCGAACAACTCTTGAGTCTATCCGAGAAAAAGAGACCGCAGTGATCTCACTCGTTCCTATCAGCGGCCAAAAATACTTGCAACAGGGTTACAATTTCACTGCTGGGGCTGGTAGGAGCTGCTCTGTCTGATTTACTGTTACTCTGTATCAAGTTGTTTGAGCGCAGTGCGCAGCCTAACCTGCTGACGCGCAAGGAGCCGCCTCCGACTCGCAGGCGGCTCTTCCTATTGGCGGAGAGCGACAGACTTCTACTCTCTGCCTGTGCGTTCATTTTTTTTTTTTTATAAGGGCTGCTTCTGTGTCAATCTGACCTGGTATGAATAACTGTTAGGAATCTGTTTATAATACATTTTATAGGCAGAAAAAATAAAAAAATAAAATAAGAAGCTCTTTGTAAATGCACACATAATAGAGTATGTGACTGTGAGCATAACAAATGTATCCATGCAATAATTGATTGTAGCACTTTATATTGAGGTACGCAAGTCTTTACAAACTTAGTCACACTGATGAGCTGATTAGAAAAAAACATGGATTAGAAATTGATTTTTTTTTTTTTAATTTCCTAAATTATGAGTTTGTAAATTATGACACAAAAAATAAAAATGGATATCATATTTATGTCATCATTTTTGAATTACAAAAAGGATTTTTTTGTTTTCATTATGACTAACTCTTGACCTCTCTTAGTGGCCAAAACAAATAATCTCATCTCCATTTAAAAAAAAAAAAAAAATCATCACTAATTCTGTCAACCAGAAAATCAGTTGAAAGATTTACTGAACTCTTTCTCAAAGCCAGACTTTCATGCAGGTACCCTGCAGTTCATATTTACCAAGTATAAATCCTGCTAGCTTAGTGACAGATCTTTCTACCTTTGATTGTTCCATTTTTTTTTCTCTTGTGCCACCCACAGGAGAGTGTTAATAGTGCACACCAGATATGTCAAAGGCTAACCTAATGGAACACATTTCCATAATATTTGAAGAGAATATTACTGTTCCCAGGAAGGTAAGCCCTTTTAGTTTATTACATAGTGTCCTTTCCTCTAGCACCAACCTAAAGTGGAAAAGTTCCAGTTTTGGTCTTGATTGTTTACATAGGTGATAACATTATCAATAGTCTAACTCACTGAGGTCATGGTTCGGCTGCAGCTTTGCTTGTCTCCATGTCACTGCTTGTGAAAAAGTAGCTGTTTGATATAGAGGATGTGTTTTGTTTTGTCACATCAGATCCTGCTGAGATGTTCATGTTGTGTCTTTGTTAGATCAGAGTAGTCGTACAGAGGAGTGAAAGTTTGTGACTCTACATACATGAGTACAAAATGATCTGTCTCTGGTGAGTCACCGGGTGCTGTGCACGGCACCCACCATCTGCATGAAGGAGACCTCAGTGTTCACCTGCACATTTTCTCAACAGTTGAGCTTTTCAGTCCCCCTAGTGCTGCACAAAGGGAATAAATGGTGCTATTAGCGAGACACTGGTGTGATATGAGTCAGTTGTTTGGCAGGTGGAGGCAGTTAATGAAGCCCTGAGTTTTTTTTTCTCTCTCTCTCTCTCTATCTCAGTGAGGGACTGTGCTAGTAGGTCAGATCATCCCAGCCTTTTTTTTTTTTTTTTTTTGAATGTCTGCCTGTGGTAGAGACATTCACACCACATCATTAGTCTTAACACATCTCAGGTTCTAGTCGTCATCCCAGCAGCCACAGCTCTGCAGGCTTAATTAAACTCCGGTGGAGTCTGTGACTTTCTAATCACATGTTGTTTGCTTTCAAATGACCTTTAGGACATGAACACCTACTTTTGTGATTTTTTTACTCGTTAAAATAATGTTGAATTATTCGACTAGAAATAAGGGAAGCACTCGAGCTGAGCCATGTCATAATTAGACATGAAGTGACCTTTTTCATTTCGCTGTGGCGCCCTCCACAGTGACCAAAAATGATCCAGACGTTGGCCTTTAATAACTTTATATGTTACAACTAGAGATTTATATACAGACATTTTGTTGAGCACATTTAGTGGCGCAATTACCAGCCTGAGAGCGCAGAAAGATTAAACTTAGGTGACGTCAAAATCACAAAATCAGTTTTGAGATTTCCAAGCCACACTGCATGAAGTCAAATTCATTCCACGGACCCCGTTGCTGGAAATTGCTGCCATCACACATGTTCTGATTTTTCTATTCCTTTTCTCAAACAAAACAAAACAAAAAAAAAATCACTTCCAATCTTGATTCTTGTAACCCCAGCAGGGAGCAGGCTATGCGTTAAACAGAAAAACAAAAATGTTATCATTTCTTTTTCTGTTGTAGCGTAGCAGGAAACTCCCTCTTATCTGAGCTCCTCCTAACAATAGCAGCCCTGTTTTCCATGTCACTGTGGAGAGAGACACACACGGAGAAACAGTACTGTAGCCATGAGCCAGACAGGTAAGCTGTCCCTTTGAAATCTATACATAAAGAATATCATGTTTTCCTCATAATATAGAAAACTTAAAAAACAGAAAGTTATTGGGAATATTTGCTGACATTTCCACAAAATACGATGTTTTCTTGTAGCTAAGGAGCTGTTAATCATCTATGAGACAGAGGCAGAGCAATGGGCCACCTACCTGCACTCAGTCTTCACTGGTCCAATCTCAGAGGCCGGGATCTGCTGCTATGACATCGCTTCAGCGCCAGCGGGGCGGCGTTTGGACGACTTCTCGAGGCTGGCCGAGTACACCTGCAAGCTCCTGATCCTCTCCAAAGGCATGCTGGAGGTTCTCAGTCAGATGCAACGCTTCTTCCTGGCCCGTGTTTTGAGTCCTGCAGCTCATGTGGTGGTTCTGCTGTGCGGGGTGGAGAGTCTGACCCCGCTGCTGGAGCTGGTGCCCCTGAACGCAGACGAGTGCCTGCAGATCTCCAGTGAACAAGATGCTCATGAATACCTGTCTGCTGTCACTGATATTGTGAAGAAAGGTATGGCGTTAGTTCAAGAAATGTGTAGAGCTTAACCCCTAAATATCAGAGACCTCCTGCAGATAAATGTGTTGTCTCGGCCCAAATCGAGGGTTGATTTTGTATCAACTATGACTAGCTGTACTGAAGAAATGTAACATGAAGACCTCTACTAACATGAGCAGAACAAATTAATTGTCAATTCAATTGTGCTTATGAAAAAGGGTGAGGTAAGAAATCCCACTAGAGTTCCCCTGTAGCTCTTAGATTTGATATCTTGAGCTAATTCTTTTTTTTTTTCCTGGAACCTTGTTGGGTTTCAGGAAAAATGTTATTAAACATAATTTGAATCTCTGAATTTAATGTGACTAATATGCATTAAAGTACCAACCAAAAATTCTAATGTTACAATCAGTAAATTATTTCCGTGAATACTAAATTATAATCAAAATATTAGAGCCTCAGGCATCATTTTTGTAGTCATGGCACTTGTCAATTGATATCTCTTTTTCTTAATAGGGACAAAATATAACACACTCGGCATGACGAACATCCAAATGCATGACAGCAAAATAAACCAGAACTGACTCCTAATTTGCATTCCAGTCTCGCAAACCCAGAACAGAATCCCTCTTCAACAAACCCTTCCTTCAGGAAAAATGTCACATGGCCTTGCTGCTCCTCTGCTGGAGGTGTGAGCAGAAAAGAATGCTCATTATTTGTGAGCATGCCTGAGCAGCAGCTTGGAAACCTGTTTACTGACTTCTTTGTGTGCGCTCAAGATTGACATCCAATATTTTTTGAACAGCAGCTTCGGAGACGTCTTTGGGGGAAACTGGTACATATGTAGCATGTCCACATCTGCCCCTCTAACTCTCCTCTGCCCCCTTCCTTGTTCTTCCTAATGGCACTATTTGTATGAGCTCATAAAGCGGAGGAGGGGGGCTTGTATTTAAACAGGTGTGCAGGGACAACATCTGATGCAAATAGCCCGTCTTTCCTCTTTGGTCACCACTGACTACTCATCATGACATGCAAATTCAAGTGCACTCTGCATCACTTCACTGCACTGATACAGTGAAGTGGATCAGGCCAGGATCTCACCAACAGTTATATTTTAACCCAGAAGTACACTTCCCTATTCATAAAGGACGCTGTTTGTTTGTTTGTTAGCTCATACAACAGACCTGTGGGCGTACAATGAGTTTTTGTGTTCACAGGGGAAGAAAGTGCACTTCACGACTGAGTGTGTAAACACTAATGTCAAAGAAATAAAACACATGTTTCATAAAGGTATTTAAGCGTTGATTTAGGCTGCGCGGTGGTGCAGGGGTTAGTGCTTCGAGGCATTCAGGACCTGAACATTTTTTTGAATTTCATATCACACATGAAGGGGCAGCAGTAACTCAAGTCTGTAGGGACTTGGGTTGGGAACCAGAGGGTTTGTCTGTGGGGTAACTGAGGTACAGCTGGGCGTTAACATCCTCACAGTAATGCTGCCTTCGCATGCTCCTTTTGAAATATGGTACGTCCCAGTTTTGCATGTCGGCAACTCGGGTTTCATAGAAATGTCCCAATTTCCCGCTCGTAATTACGACTTTGGAAGGGCGTTCGTGTGCTCATTACTTGTAAATGCAGTAAAATCGATATCGCCGAGGAGCACGTGACGGCAGCATAATATTGTTATCATGCCAGAAATATAATGTTTTGCTTTGTGCTTGGAAGGAGTATTGTTTACTATTTTCACCAATCTTTTTCAGCATGCAAGTATTTGCTAATCTGCATTAAAGACAGTCAAGCTGAGGCCTAATGGGAATGATATAGTTTCAGCATGTTGGTCAGAAGAACACAGTAATCTTTTATCTACAGATAACTTGACCTTGTTTCCTAAATTAAATTGTAATTCTTTTTCTCTATTTTTGAGATTTTTCACTTTGAACCAAAGACAAAGGACTAATAAAGTCAGTATGATTCATCTCCCAGGGAACATGCTTAACATCCAGTACTGTTAAAGGTTATGGTATCTGAAACGTCTTTTGCAGGCACAACTTCCTTTAATGATTTACGTCTCATCTCTTTTGGGCGTGTCAGCCTCCACAGCAAATGTCAACCCTTTAACATGTAAACCAACAAGATCAGAGGAAAACATGGCACAAAAGCAGTCGACTGAAGCCCACAGTGACACATCAAGAAGCGTGGTGGTCGTTCCTTCCAGAGTGCTTTGCGGGGTGAGACACTCGTGTAGTCAGTAGTAAACCGTTCCTTTTTTCATAAAGCATCCACAGCATTGATTACACTGCAGTTCACTGTACTGAATTCTTGGCAGAGCTCCATGGAAGTGTTCATTCTTTTGAAAAATGAGGCGGCTGGCAGCGACACCGAGGTTGAGTTCACTGGTGAGAATCAGACAGTGAGAGTGAAGCCTGTCCGCTGGAACGAGCAGATCCTGTGCATCAATGCACCAGGTGAACGAAATAATAAGAAATCACGAGTGTGTCATTAATAGCAACCTATAAAACCTACACCTTAAACATTCAGTTTTAATGCACAATGGTTTCTATATATTTTTGCAGATTTTCCAGGAGGAAATGTTGGAGTTACTGTGTATATCAATGGAGTGCCGCTGAGCAAGGCACAGTTGCAGTACTACACCAACATGGAGGAAATAACCTGCCTTCTGGCCAGGGCTGCAGACCCTGTGGATTTTATGTGTCAGGTAAACCCAACATCTGAAAACATTACCTTAAATAAGCCCAACCATTTTGGCCTTGACCAAAAGGCAGCATATTTAAAAAAAGAGTTGTGTTTATACAGGAACAGTACAATTTGCATGGAAGTCCCCATTTGCAAACATTCAAACACAAATGGATTTGAGCGTCCATACATGGTATTTACCTGGCCATCAAGGACACTTGAGCCACAGTCAACCATTGCTGTTACCAAACAGGTCTAGCAAATGAATGCTATAAAAGGACAATATTAGGACTTAGTGCTTTTTTAGTGCTTGTGCTAACTTGACCAGTACCAGGGACAAAATGTCAGGACATGTCAGTCTCTGCTTTTTTCAGTTTAACAATTTTTCTTTGATGTATTTGTAATCTTTGTTGATGAAAAGAGTCAACAAAAAAAGAATTTTAAGAAAATAAAATAATTTTAAACATAAAAATGACATTTTGGGGTCTTGTTATACCGTTACAAAAAGGCGTACTTGTCACAATGACTTTGAATCCCAACTGATGTGAAATAAGTGAGAGGTACTCACTAAAGGTTCTTGGCTGAATATTATTACTAATGTGCAGTCACATTTCCACCTAATAACTCCTCAAAGTGGGCCAATTATTTTCATGTTAATTTGTGATTTTTTTTAAACAGAATGTCTTAACTCTTGCCATTACCAGACAAAAACTGATAACAGAAGTGTTCTGGTTACTGCTTGTGGTCTGAGTAGTATTGTCTACTAGCACATTAGCAGGCTTTGACTTTGGGCACAAATTCCATGTGTGTGGAGAGCAGACGGAGCAGAATGCAATCCACCCTGATGCAGTTCCAAGAACCCATCAGCAGAATCCCAGAGTGTATTTTGCGCAGCAACAATATAATGGGACGTGCAGTAATATGTCTGAACTTTTTTAATAAAGAGAACTAGACTAAGACCAAAAACTACTGCTACATTACAGTATAGTTTGTGAAGTATAAACCTCCGAACATTAAACTTCTAACTTCTGGAAATGTATAGAAACAACATTTTTCACAACTGGTTTAGTGATGTAATAAGCTCATTTGACAGCTGAGCGATTTTCTCTTTTCTCAATACAGGAAAGTCTTCAGAGGTCATTTAAATTACTTTGTGACTCATCATTATGAAACTCCGTTATAGAAATTAGTCAATGGCCGCCCAAAAACGCTGCCTATATCTGATCCACTTCAAGCCAATAAAGAAGATGCATTGAGTCAGCATATATCTAAATGCTTATGTGAGCTACCGTTTACAGTCGCTTCTCTGGAACTGAAGAGACGGCAGGTTTCAGCCTTCGTTCAGTCATGAACACTTGATTTGATTAGGTGTCTTCTGCTGAAAAGGCAAACTCGAGCAGAGCCAAGAGTTGATTTTGCCAAGTGAATTTCAAATAAAACTCTTGCTCAGTTGGGCTTAAGCGTTAGTGATTATAGTTAACCTGTCTGCTTACCTTATGTCTCTTATATAATTTGACCATTAGACTATTTTTCAAGTTGAAACCATTTTTTTAAGTTTTAGTTTTCACTTTTGTAGATTTGTTTTTCTTTGCAGCCTTACCTGCAGACGTTATTTTAACCTCTGGCGTGCTCGCAATCTGTCTTTTTTCTCTGTTTTAAGGCTTTTCAGGAGTCGTCTGTGGAGAGGTTGGATCAGAAGTTGTCCTCGATGCTGTTGGAGGGAATGCCCACCGGAGGCTTTCAGGGACTGAACAGTGAAAACACACCTGAAAGAGGTAAAAAAAATCTCAAATCTGTACACATGTGCTTAGTTATACAGCCTCTACATTTTTCCATCACTTTAACATCAGATCTAACCACAAGTGCTGGAGCAGGAGAGGAGAAATTGGAAGTACTTATCAAAAAAAGTAATTATACAAATGCCTACAGCAAAACCGAATGTCCATTTATTCCGCTCCTTGCCCTCAGAGCATGTGTTCATGCAAAACAATGTGGTTTGAACAGACTTCTCACAGTTGGAAGGCGTTCTTGTTGCATGATGCACATTATCCGCCATGAAAAGGAAAAGCCCTCCATTATTGCTGGGCTCATTATGTGGCAGATTGATGGCTTCATCAGCCTCTGAGATTGATCCTTAACTCTGCTAAAAAGGGCACAGGGAAACGTCTCCATGATAAACAAGTCAATAAGAGCCTCCGAGGTGCCTTTCTTCAACTCTCCTGATGGTGTTAGATTGCATCGGGGTCAACTTCAAGTTATCATCTGTAGCAGAAGTGTTACAAGTGGTGTTTTCAGTGTACAGCTTGATTTTTAGAGTTATTTTCACCTGATCGAAACCGCCAAAATCTCCCCCCATTAGAGCTCCACCACGCAGAAGTACCAACACTCCTCCACTTTGCTGCCCAGTATGGACTAAAGAGAGTCTCCAGCCTCCTCCTGCAGTGTCCAGGCGCCGAGCGAGCCCTGCGCACAGCCAATTGCCACAGGCAGACTCCCGCTGAGATTGCCAAACATCAAGGCCATACAGAGCTACATGTCCTATTGAAGGAAACACTGGTAACTATTTCCTTATGGACCATTTGCAACTCACACCCAATCCACAGAGTTTTTATTTTATTAGCTTTGCATATCTCACTCCAGTTGGAATTCATCCTTGTTGGAAATGATTCTTTTAGCTTGTTCTGACCCTCCATGCAATTAAGACATTCCTCAAAGTGTCGATATCTGATGACAGCTGCTCATGTTAAGTGATTTGTGGGCTAATTAAAACATCCCTAATGACATTATTTGTCTGGTTGGACTTCATGTCATCTGAATGGAATTCTATAGTTTACAGTTTGTCGCTGACGGCAGAGAAAAACAACACAATGCACCTTAGGCTTGTGAGATTTCACAAGCTAAGGTGAAGAAGTGCAGCACTCAGGAATGCTATAACGAACACCAATACAGCGTGAGGCCTCTGAGTGAGTGGTGCTTTATCAATAATGAACAGAATGGAGAGGATGGAAAGATGGAGAGCACTGAGAGTGACCTGTGTGTCAGGGGTGACCTCGCTGCCTCCTAACCAGTGTTTTTTCATCCAGCTCATGTCACAGACAGAGAATTGATGAAAACACCCCCCCGCCCCTCTTATCCTGAATATATTCGGCCTGTGAGGTTCCTAATGGAACTCCCCCACAGACATTAGAAAGGCTGTGTTTGTTCATGCATGCACAATGGTTCAGAGCGCAGGGTCGTCTGCATACATTCAGACAATTAAAGCAGCCACTAATGTTGAGATTTTCTTGCCTAATGGCTGCCATTCTCTCGTGTTAATATCCAGAGCCTCCTCACTCTAAAGCCATTTCACATTGTGGATACACGAACACAAGAGCAACACATTAAATAGCTCCATTGCACGCATGTTCATACATTCATTTGATAGGCATGAAGGACACTCGCATCATAATGTTTTCTTTTTCAATTCAAATTCTATCAGGCAGTGAGGACATTATCACTGACTGATCTTTCCAGTTCCTAGAACTATCTTATTTGTTCTCTCAAAAAGTTAAGTAAGAAAGTATTTACAGTGTCTCCTGGGGTGTTTAGTTTTTGGTGTGACTTGTCTCTGGTGTTTTGTTTTTCTTCTACCTCCATGTAACAGCCAATAACCTGCTTTGCCAAGCCTTAGCTATATATTGCTAATGCTACCCAGAAGCTTCTTCTACGTATCCCAAGTAAACTGCTGCAGCTGAAACTGGAAAGACATTACTTTGATTGGTTGGTTAATACAAATATAGAAAAAACACACTTTTTGAGTTGTTGCTGGGCAGATTGTTTTTTAGCTTTGGACTAAGCCAGGCTAGCTATTTCAATTTTTTTCTGCCAAGTGATTAGCTACAAAACCAGTACAGTCCTTAACATGGTATTCATCTACTCATCTTACGCCCAGCGAGAGAGGAATTAACTACAGCGCTGGTGTTATACAGTAACTGAAAGTCCTGAATCAAAAATGTGACAGAAAAAAAAAAAGCAATAGAGAACTTTTAGCACAACATGAAAAAAACCTGAGGGATTGATCATTCAAAACCTGGACAAATTAAACATTTGTCTTCACTTGGTGGGATTGATCGTTTTAAGCTTGTGTCACCCGTTGAATAACTTGTGAGTGTGCGTACACCAGTTTGTAACAGATAGTAGCACGCGGCTCATTCATTCATGTGGAAATCTCCGCTCTTATCTTCCATCTCCCCTTAAGACTGACAGCTTTTTACTTTCCCTGATGGTCTGGATCAACATATTGAGAATCCCCCCCCTGGGGACGTTTAGACACTCCAACAGCTGTTGCAAATGTATTAATCCCCCCCTAGCAACACCGCTAATTGAGAGTGACTGCAGATGGAGCAAGGTTTGATCAGATCGCTCTAGTGAGTCAAAGTGCTCGCTGTGAGACTCGGAGGCAACCGAGGAGCAGCCGAGTCAAACAGAGGTCTCCCCACGGGGACTTCTACAAGCCTATAGTTGTAAAATAACAGACAGATCCGACGTTGACATTTCTTCGCGGTGTGTTTCTTGAAGGGTAATTAAAATTTGTCTTGACAGCTCAAACTACAGACATACTGTTCTTGTTTGGTGCTAACATGGAGGGTAAGAGTCAGCATTGTGGGATTTGTTCTCGCTCGGTTTTTTTTTTTTCTGCAAGGCATTTTCATTAACTCATCTGCAGCGTTTCCCCCCTACCTCCAATTAATCAACCCATGATGCATCAGTGATTTGGGCGTCAGGGTAGCAGCACTATGTCAATAAATCCTAGATGGATCGGTCCCATGCTTCATACACAGGCTGAATCACTCACAAGGCCTGCGTCAGATCCACTAGTCTGCCTTGGCACCGCACTTCTTTGTTAATTAGCTGTGAACTGCTCCAGAGGGGAAGGCTGAATTATTCAGGGAGAGCATAACTAGAATACAAATATAGAAAAAAAAAACGCTACAGAGTTATCTACCATGTTTACGTCCTCACGCTGCAATATTGTGCCTGCTCAGAGTAATTACCAACACAAACACACATTATTTAATATTTTGTTCTTATACTGAGTCACACATTTGGCTGAGTGTCACTTGGCACTACATGGACTCCTCTGCTATCAAGATCTCACTGTGCGCTCTCCGATGTAAATACAAATTATCTTGAAAGTGTTCTGTTCTGTGTTCTGCATGCTGCGTTTGTGTACAAATACTCCTACAAACATAGGAGCACCAAATTAGTGGCATCCCATACTCTACAGTCCTGATTCTACTGTCCTTGTTTTGCATGTAATGTTTGCATGGTCTGGGACTGCACCATCATTATCAACAAACTCCACTGATTTGACTATCATTTGAATGATACGGTCATGGCCATAAGGACAAAGACACAGTTTTCTTCCCTTAGGCTATGAGCTGCATTGAGAAGGTATGCTGTCATTTAGATCAATCATACACATTTCGGTTTGTTTTAAGCTAAGATACCTCAAGGAAGAATCCCCAGAATCCAGACTGAAACACCTATCCAATGGATTGTCATCAAGATATTTTATTTATTCACGGTCACCAGCGTATGAAGCCGTCCACCTTGGCAAAGGTTTTTCTAATCTAGTTAAATAAGTTAAGGCTCAGGACCCCCCTAGGCATTCATGGTTTCTGTATGATGAGTCCTACTGACTGTGGTGACTTTTTACACTGTCTCTTTTTTTTCGTTTTTTTTAGCTCAGTTATTAAAAGTATTCCAGAACACAAGTTTGGCTTAAAACAACTCTGAAGAAAATCTACTAGAGTTGATATGGTCTTACAGAAGTGTGAAGTGTTTCTCCGCCTGCTGTGCTGACCACTTCTTCTGTCCCCCATGCTAAAGACTTTTTTTTCTGCCCTGTCTTTAAGTGGAAGGTTTCCTGATCTTTATACCCCTATGTCAAACCAGCATGCTGGCACTGTGACCCGAGACGAGCCGGTCCTGTGGATTGACCATTTCAGCTGCTGAAAACAGACTTATGCTCCTTATCCTTCACTAGATTTGCTTGAGATTTGTGCGCCCTCTAACACAATCATGCCCGCTGTTTAGTCTGAAGCACTGCTGCTCGGATTGCAGCAGTGAAACTGAATTTGTCTGGAATGCCTGGGGCTCCTGCAGTTTCAAACATCTGTAAAAATGATTTAGCACTTGCGTTTAGTAAATAAATACCCTTCCCTGTCCAGAAATCACCTCTTTAAAATACCGCACGGAGCTTAAGCACAGCATCCAACTATTGTATTTGAATGTTCAAGCTGTGACGGTAATTAACCCGTCCTCTCTACCTGTTGGGCCTGTTAGGAACCTCCACTGTTTAGTAAGGGATTCATGGCAGTCAATAAGTAATCTGCAGTACCAGGAACAGTGTATTATTGTAATTGAGTCACGAGTGGCTGTGTTGCTTGGAAACTGCCCACAGTGTGGTGGGTTATATGGAGGATAGCATGATCAAAGGGAGATGCATCACATATAACCTGCAAGATTTAGATTACTGATTGGGATTTTTGCAATCCAGGCCTTATCTTCTTTCAGCTTATAATGGATTCAAATGTAATACTACAACAATATCATACAATACATCATAGATCTTTTGAGGTCATTACATGTTGAATGCTTTCACAGCTGTTTTCATACACAGTAATAAAGACATTGATAGGATTTCACTTTGGTTGGAGAAAATCTAACCACGTAATATTTCAAAATGAATGAAGCAACTCTTCAGTGTTTCACATCCTGATCAGAAGTTCAAATATGGCAGAAACATCAGTGTCGGTCTAATCGAGGATGCAGTCTAGATATCAAGCTGATGGTCTTGAATTGCTCGCTAAATGATATGTTTGGACTGAAAGGGGAAGATTGTCTGATTTCATAATTACCCTGATCATACCCCTGTCTGTTCCTCAGCATGCTATTAGCAAATAGGGCCGATTCGGCAGCAGCTCTGCTGTCGGAGGGAAAAACTGTTCTCTGTTAGCCAGCAGGCAGGGTTACAGCACACCTCTCTAATACCTATGAGAGAGGTGACTCTGAAAATGCTGTTCCCCAAGTCAAGTCCTAGCAGATGCAGTGTGGGAGAGCTCAATTAACGATGTGGACTTTGTCACACCTGACATGAAAACACAGAACATTACAAGAGGACGTAGAGGCAGGTCCTCTAACGTCCTGTTGTGAGAAAGAGCTTAGAAAGTGCTCGGAGGATAATCAGCCTAGCTTTTATGTGTCATTATTGTGAATTGGAAGGAGGATACAGGTGAGAAAATAGGATGACAGCGAGGATGGATTCACATTCTTAAGAAAACAACATGAAGATTTGTCAAAAACACAACTAAAAATCCACTTTAACATAGCAAACCATGGCCTTTATGTCACATATTAGACATGTCTCCCCTTGAGGTCTAAATAGCTTCTTTAAAGCTGTTTATTTGTGATTTGGGTAGGCATTTAGGCACCTCTTCATGCTCTCTTATTGCAGAATATGTTCAACGCTGGCGAGGACAATGGCGATTCCAGCGTTTACGAAATGATGTGCGCCGCAGGTGAGTGAAAGGACTGATGGGAAGTGGAAGTAGGACAAAGAGAAGCCCGTAATGACATTGTTTTTATTTTCCACCGCATCATTATGCTGGGTTTGCCGGTCATTTACGACCACTGAATATTTCCCCCCGTGCTGATGTGAGCACCATGTGGAGCTGCTTCCGATTAGCTGTGAAATGAAAGAAAAAAGAAAAAAAACAGCATGCAGAATTTCATCATGACTTAAGCGAAGTGATGCAGTAAACATTATGTGCGTTAGGGACTCCCTCTTTCACAGATGTGCACAAAGAGCAAAAAGGAGAGAAGGAAAAGGAGGAGGAGGAGATCTACGCACCACTGGAGGTGAATGATGAATATGACAGCATGCTGAACTCAACAAACGCTGTTGTTATCGCCAATCGCCCACCGGCACCCACTCCTCGGCCTGAGAGCAGCCATGTGAAGGAGGACAGAACCCCGTACATCACTAAAGGTAACTCATAAACACTTGCTTCTTTTTGTTGCGCCCTCCAAACAACAGCAATGATGGAGCTGATTTGGAGTAAAAAAGCAACACTAAGTTATGCACAGTATGTGAAGGGGAGTTGGGGAGATCATGTGGGAGGGAGGAAGTGCCTGGAATGTGCATTGCCATTGTGGAGTGGAGTGCTGCTGAATAAAAGCAGTACAGGCTTTTTTTTTTTTTTTTTTGCGATGCAGTTTGTTTTGATCCCATAAACCACGAGAACACGGCAGTTCCGTGCTGCAAAACAAACAAAAGCGAGGAGAGAGAGAGAGAGAGAGAGAGAGAGAGAGAGAGAGAGAAAAGAACCATTTGCCTGCATCAAGAGCCCACAGCCCCTAACTGTTCAATTTCAGCAGCTTGAATATTTCATGAAGATGAAACATCCAAAAGTGACTGGTATTATTAAGGCTTATAAATCATTTAAAATAGGGCTGTGACTTTGTTTTTCCATAGCTTATTTAAAAATGCATCCATTATGTCATTATTAGCACAGATAATATTTCACTTATGTATTCAAAAACACACATAATGATTAAACAGTGCAACAGGCTGCTTCTCCCGTCATTGCAGCGTTTTATTGAGCTCGCTTGCATCCGGTAGGCCGAACGCTCTGACCAATAGGACTAAAAAAAAAAAAATGAAAACAAATAGGGAAATTGAGTGCACCACTGAACTCTCCTCAGCTCTCCCAACCAGAGAGGGAACTACCAGGCTACCATCTGCAACCAATCTTGGCCAAAACCAAGGCCAAGTCAGCCAGAATAAGTCATTACACATGTTTTCCATCGTCCTTGTCCCCCGAGCGCACAAGAGAAAGAAGCCGAGGGATTTTGAGGTTTCCATCTCTTGAGACAGTGCAGCTTCAAACCACACAAGGATCACATTTTTTGCTCCTTACTCCCACCGCCGCAGTGAGAGATGTGAGAGAAGAGATGAGGCTTGCTGGAGGATTAGGAGAGGAGCCAGTTATTGGAGACCAATGCACAAAGTGGAAATAATGAGGAGTTTTCTTTTGTTAGCGGCGACGTCTCGAGCCCTGATGAGACTGAAATGTTGCTGAGTGAAATCCAATCCAACAGAGTGGAATTACCATGCACGGACTGAGCAATGTACACACTCCAAAGTAATAGCCACAGTCACGTGACACATCTGCAGCAGTACTCTGTTCAACATTTCAATCTGAATCAAGCCTGACTTCTCGTTGTGTGCAGAAAAAAAAAAACAGAGAGATTGAACATGAAGTGGAAAAGAGAGATGTTGTCATGGAGGAAGAAGAAGTCAGAGGCAGGGTGTGGATGTTGAATTCTACTCCAGCGTTGGTCATATAGCCGCAGATCCACCGCCTCTGACAGCCACACAGTGTAGCCTTTCATTCTGACAGCTCACTACCAAACTGAAAGCATCATTTCTGAGCGACTAATTCAATCCAGAGTTGACTGAGTGTGTGTGTGTGTGTGTGTGTGTGTGTGTGTCTTTCTCAGAAAGAAACACAGATTTAACATCCTGATTAACAACTCTTGGGAATTTCACACACATGACCATTCAGTAACATGAGTGTTGTTGTTGTTGTTGTTGTTGTTGTTAACATTAGTAGGATGACGTTTTATTATGTCACGATTTTAAGTTAATTTGTTGTTTGTTAGTTTAGGGTGTGTCGCCATCTTGTGGAAAAATGGTTGAATTACAGCAGCTTTAATTTTTTTTTTTTTTAAACATTTTGTAGCATCTGGCAGGCTTGCGACATCTACAATATATTATATTGACAAAAAAAAAACTTTCTATGAAATAGTTTACCGACTTGGTCATTATAAGCTGCATTGTGTTCACAGTGTTCCAGAAGAAGGCACCACTGGGGAATGCTGATCTGTATTCACTTCCCACCAAACAAGGTGCGTGCTATGTGACTTTTTAGGCATTGATACACACTTTTGATACAGTGCCATTATCAGAATAGAAATAAATATGTATTAAATTTAACTCGGTATATCTTGCAAATAAAGATCCACATTCAGACCTGTTACCATGCAAGGACATGGGAGCTTCTGTCACCACTTTCTGCTCATTATTAACGCTCAAGCATGAAGTTGCAGTCATTAGTTTTGGAGTTAAAAATAAATAAATCACAAAATGTGTGGTACAGCAGGAAGATTTCTTTTATATCTGCTGGCCCGCTCCCTCCAAAAAGCCTCCCTGTATTCCCTCCTCTGTGCAGAATCACTATTATCACTGTGAGGTCTGAAGATTGTAACAGCGGGACTTTTACTGTGCCAGTCATTTTCCTGTAACTTCTCCCCTCGTCATTACATGTTCAAATATCCTACTAGGTTGAATTAGTTAATGTGAATTTTTTTTTTTATAGGCAGTTTTGCTAAATTCATTAAAATTGTAGTGCGCATTATGGGGGTGATCACAATCACACTGGATTATTGCTGCTTAAAAAGAGCAATAAAAAGAGCAGGTGACACATTTGAGTGCCAAATGAAAGAACCAAATGTTTGCTTTGCTTTATAGGGGGACACTAAATTGAGTTCAGTGTATACCCAATCTTGCCTTATTTTAAACAATCAAGAAAAGAAGAATACTTAAAGCTATTTCTTAATCATAATGCAGCCTTTTGTCTTGTTCTTACATGTGGTAGACGCATGTTTTTTTTTTTTTTATTGTGTTTCCAAAGCAGCACGCGGGAGAGAAGACAGCATCTCCTCCACCTATGACACCTTCTTGCCAAACCAGGGGAACGGGCTTCAGCCGCTCACTGAGCTCCAGCAGAGGGTGAAGGCAGGTTCACTCACCGTGGACGGGAACCTGGAGCGCTCCAGCGACCTGCAGCGGGGCCAGAAGGCAGTCGATAACATCCAGGAGGTGCAGTGATCGCACACACTGATCACAATCGCACTGGATTTGAAAGAAATAAATTCAGCTGTAACGTAACTGCACAAGAAGCATCTGCTGGTTATGCTTTGCAAACACAGTTAACAGGTTAATCCCACATGGGAATGTGAAAACACTTCTACCCTTCTTAGTATAATAAATACAAATGTTATTGCATGTGTGGGTGGTGTTGCACATTCAGAGCCTCTTTTAAACACGCAATGAAATAGTGATCAGTGATAGGTCACCTAATTCATCTGCTAACCTTGCGAGGAATAATGTTTTGTATTTACCAAACAGGACAGTCTTGGTATAGCAAATATTTAAAGATATTGAATTTTATATTCATACTAATTTGAATCAGATTCAGAATTGGGTTTCTTGCCAAGTAAGTCTATAATACACATACAATTTGTAATTTGTTATGTATAGTAGTACTCCTACGGTCAGGACCTTAAACAGAAGATGCAAAAATATATATTTTTAAACTATATTAAAACAACATATGCACAACCGGTGCAATGGAGGACTGGTATAATTGTGCAGCAAATAATGTGCAAGATGATGGTGAGTGCAAACATCTTGTACTTAGATACGGTGTTCAGTGTGCAGTATGTTAATTTTGCACATAAAGGCAAATAAATAAATCATGGTACTGTCAGCTCAGACACATTTTGTATGGCTGTGTAACCTCTCTCACGAGACGGGCCAGAACAAATCAAATTGACAGAGAGCCAGCTGAGGACACCTGCTGGTTGGCGAGGGAATTACAGGAGTTGCCAGAGCTGATTTATAGCAAACAGGACAGAAAGAAGGTGTGGAGGAGGGGGGGGGAGAACTGTGTCTGTCGCCATGACAATAGACTTATGTGAATATTGATTTACACTAAAGTCCTGCACTTCCAGATGTCCAGAGAGATGTTTTTTTTTTTTTATGCAGCACATTTTGAAACTTCACAGTAGGTAACACACAGGTGTAAGCCATAAAAATTGATGATGGCTGAATTCCATGTAGCTGCTTCATTGTTAATGATATTAGTAACACCTGTGCTTTTCAGCTGACTCATCTAAAAAGGCAGCTGGGAAAGAGCATTTCAGAGCATGTTAAACAACGGTATGAATTAATGTTGAAGAAAAAGTGTGTTGGCACGGTTTTAGACCTGAAACACAACTTCCAAATCTATACTTACGGATGATAAATGGCACTTACTCAAAAGACAGGCCAAGGTTAAAAAAAAAAAAAACCAGGCAGGCAAACAAAGAAAGGCCGAATTGAACAGGCAGGGGATAAAAAGCAGGGCTAGACCATGAGAAAGTATAAGATCCAAGAATATTCCACACCCAAACCAGAAAGAAATGCCTTTAAACTGGAACATCTGGTCAACTAAACATGAGGTGCTCTCTGTGAAGTGAGATGTTTCCTTTCTGCAAGACTGTAATTGATCGACGTCTCCTGTCTCACATCAAATCAATGAAACCATGCCTTATCTGCCGTACTATTCTACTGATGACAACATTTAAAATCATACCTGTTCATCACCATTACTGAGTTGTAAGCATTTTAGAGGAGACAGTGGAAAAAGGTGAGCAGGTGGTGACGCATAAGAGGAAAGGGACTTTGAGGCTCGCTCCCCCGGTAAGCGTGTGAGAGCTCCGTGCTGTCCCACTGTGAAATCGTCAGGTGTGTGAGGGATCTGATGCAGACTTTTCAATGGCAAATTATGCAAATTACCACAAGTATATTGAAGCAGTAATCAGGGTTTGAAAAAAAAGAAAAGAGGAAATGTTATGTATGCAAGTATGGAAGTGGGGGAGGAAATCGTCACGCAAATAAAATTATGGACAATATGAAGCTTAGTTATTTACTGCTGTGGATTTTTAAGCACATTAGAGAGATGTTTGTGTCTTCCAGTCAAACATTCACAGAGTGTAACAGCTTTTTTTGATAGAATGATAAAATATACAAACATTGTAATTAAAGAAATACAATAAATTCTGGAGGTATGGGCTTTATGGCTTATTATATAATGGAACATCTTGTTTCCAAGCGTGTGATGTCATGATAGTGTGTGCCATTACTCTTTTTTTCATACCGTCTCAAGCCCTCACAGCTTTAGAGTCGGTGAGTGTTTAGTGCCCGAGGCTTAAGGATGGAGATGGGAGTGGCAGGGTCTAACATGACAGGAGGGTTAAAATGAAGGTGAATCAACAGACTGGAAGAGGTGGTGAGAACATGGCTGATATTAATAAGAAGGCTAATGTGTTTTTTTTTAAATGTGTCTTTCCTAAAATGCGAATGTTTACATTAGAGTCTCAATAACCAGCATGAGTCCGGTGGCGGTGACGTCCAATAAAAAAACTCACAAATAGGCGACTCTGATACAATCTTAACTTTCTAACCTTCATAAATGAAATTCGAAATCTGTCTTAAAATGTACACATTACCAGTGATTTAAGGTCCTTGTTATATTGGTAAGGTGATGTATGGGAGAGATTTTAACTTCTTTCTATATAGTTTGATAGAGCAATCCAAAGGTTTCCCAATGTAGCAAAGTGAGCCCGTCCAAGGAGTAACACGATACATTAGGATGATTGTGGTTGTGATTTTTCTTTTGATTCATTTCTCGAATGAAACCAATCTTAGAGATGTGAATGGAAATGATCTGTGGTTAAAGTCACACCTCACAGAAACAAAAACAACGGTCTAAGAGACCAAACTAGACTCGTTTGATCACAAGGTTTAAACTTTTATAAACGTGTCACCTTTATTGACGTGAACTCTGAATCAGATTCTGACAAAGTTAAGATAAAAGTGTACTGTTATCTAAAAGAGCATTGAAGTTGAAGAACTAGTATGTTCACTTCTCTTGTGGTTTACATTTCTTCCAAACTAAATACATTTTGTTTTTGGCATCTTGACCTAACCTTTAAGGTCTGATCTTTGTCCCTGCAGGAGAAGAAGTCGAGTCAGCTGGGAGTCAGTACCATCAACAACAGAGTGGATGATGACAGTGTGTACGGTAAATATTTCTCCATCCTTGGTATGCGGGTTAAACTCTTCTGTCATCACAGAGACGCTCCGCAGAGACCTGCTTTCCTGGAACTTAGACATATAAATAAACTCCATTCTGTGCTGGTAAAGTTTCACTGGAGCATGTGGCCACTAATGACTACTTCAAACTGCGAATAGCTGAGATATCCTCTCTTTCCACAGATAAAATCGACCTCGTCCATCAAACTCAGAGTAAGTCTTTAGAAACGCAGCTCAGCATGCGCAGAGGAAAACCTCTGTTAGCGAGCCTTTGTAGTTCCTCAACTCTCAGTTGCAGTGGTGGGGGATTAATCCTTGGGGAAGTGCTGCTTAATCAAATCCCCGCAGCCATGTTTTGATCCATTGAGTTTCACTTGCGCTAAATGAATGCTTTTATGTCCTTTCACTGAACAATTCTGATCATTTCCCTCCAGGTGTTGCAGGGACGCGGGTCGAAGAGGAAGCCAGGCAGTGGAGTCTGAATTTTACAGCACGCCGCTTAAAGGACAGCATGTGAGTTGAATCTTCTGGCTAAGGGAAGCTTTGCAGACCTTTATGACTATTTAAAGATGTATAAAATAATGTTTGTGCGATTTAAATAGGCATGAATTTGCAGACTACACACATGAAGGCCTGACAAGCCACTGACATGTTTTCCTCTGATTGTTTTGCAGTCAAATTAATTTTCCAAAGCCGACAAATAGTGAAGGTAAGACTAAAAACTACTTAAATATATATAAAATTATTATGATTGAAAACATGTGAAACATTGTAATACTTCAGATTGAGTCCAGATCATTAATCATGTCCTATTTCTTTATTTCCAGGCTCAATTGTTCAATATGCACTCAAATCTTCAATCAATCATGCAAGTTAAATGTTTAACTAACAAGTCGTTTGAATTGTATTACTCATAAAGTTTTGTATTTAAAAGTATAATATGTAGTCACATTTTGATTCAGGTCTAACAGATTTTAGAGGTATTTTTCTGGTTTTAAGAAAATGGTTTTCACATTCTGTACAATAAGGGCAAATTTCCATTTTTAATTCATTTTATATTTTATTTGAATAAATTAATGCCGTGAATGTTTCCCACATGAAACAACCTTGTTGATTTTGAAGATTTAACTGTTGGAGAAAAGACTATTTCTTCTGCAGTGAGTTCAATATCTACACGTCGAAGATAATTCATCTGCTACAAGTGTACTACAACACTTATTGAATGTTTTTCAGCCAAAAAGTTAACATTTAAAAACTATGAATTCATGGATAAACAAGGGGTTGAAAGGGAAAAAAAAGGAATCTTTTCCCCAGCAAATCTTAGCCTGAATAACCTTTCATATCTTCGCCAATAGAGGGCGCTCTATCTCTAAATATATCCATCACATTTACTGTTTGAAGCAGCCAAAGACATCTGGTGAGCCCAGGAGCACCTGCTGACCTCCTGATGGCTGGGAGGCATTCTATGGGAAAAAGAAATGTTTCCATACATGTTTATGTATGTAAACCAAGTGTAAAAATACTTGTGCAGCAGGTGAGAACATCAGTGAAGCGGTTCATGCTGTGCCTGGATGCAAACAGGAAACTGTCGCCTTGGTTTGGACCAGCCAAGGCATGAAAGATCCTCTCATTAATGATGCATTCATTTAATAAAATGCTAATTGTAAAACTATCACAACTTAGCTCAATGGAAAGATTTAAAAAATGTTTGATTTTCCTGTGAAGTTCACTGTGTAAAGCCGCCACAGAAAAATGTATCATACGTATAAATGTTTCAGGCATTTTGAAATGAATAAAAACATTTCCTTTATTGACTCGTCAAAATTCTAAATTTGCTGTGATGTACCAAACTATTCAGGGACTGTCACCAATACACACAGCCTTTCTCACACACACACAGACAGCAGTTTGTTGGTACAGCCCGGCCTTCGCCTGAATGAATGAATAAGAGCTGCATGGGGAATTCAGTGAATGCACGGCTAAATCCGAGCCCAGTCTTGAAACCCGGGCAGAGACTGAGCCGTGTGCCAACAAAGCAGCTGGGTACACGCCGGGCACATTTTTCTGTTCAATCATGCTCTTTGTGAATAATATGTATTAATGCCGTCCCTACTTAGACCTGCCAGTTAGCCTTTGGAGATGATCCGGCTTCAGGACCCCATGGCATTTGAGGCATATGTTTGCCCGTCACCTGCTGAGTACATTTCAGTCCGTGCGTCAGGCGTGGCCACAGAGATAGGCCTCGATTCATCGTGTATGCAAATACCCGAGCACCGCCACAAGGACTGATTCCCCCGTGCAGTCTCAGAGAGACGAGCAGCGAGAGAGCTTCTGTGGCATGCGTCGCACAAACCAATCACAGTTCTGTATGTGGGAAACAAGTACATCAAGACTACAACAGAAATGCTGTAAAATCTACTTTGAAAAAACAAGGTTATTTAAAGAAAGTAAAAAAAGACCATACATTTAAAATATGAAAGAGTTTGACTTACTAACAGACACTTATTTTGTCATTATTGCCTATTTAAGTGCATTTATTAAAGTTTTAGTCAGTGAAAACTTTAGTCCCAGTACAAGAGAATCACCTACTTCATTTAAAATATTTTTAATAAAATAATGACTCTATTTTCCTATTACATGTGTATATTTTGTTACAGTTTAAGACTCATAAATCTTAAGGGGTAATAGTAAAATTAACGTCAAAGGTTAAAGTTATACTGGATTATGATTGTTAGCGTGGTATTGCCACTGTATCTTTAGCCAAAGATTTTCACACATCCTACTGGGTAAGGTTTATAAAGCTGCTCTGGTAACTGACTTAAGTGTTGAATTAAACGACTGATTAGCAGACAGGACCATTTTGCAGACCCTTACAGTGTGCAGGACAAGCAGCTATTATGTGGTCATTTTTTAAGATATGCTAATGAACTCTGACTTGACTTAAACGTCATTTTAACATGAAAGAGGTTTTCCAGTCGTGTTCGTATCATCCTTGTAATGAATACATAATCTTATGATTTGCCGTCTTTCACTGATCATATTTCATTCTTCTAAAATGATCAAGTTCTTCTAAAGTGTTGCAGCCTGCAGCTGAGTATAAAACTGTGATACACTTTTTCCTTCCTTCTTTCAATTGGCTTCCTGTGTCTGGAATTAGGTTTAAGTCAAATGCCATATATTGCTAGAAAGCTATATATCCATCCAAAGAGGGTCTATTATAAATTATAATAAAACCATTAGCTGAAAGATACTTGAATGCATATTTGTTCTCTATAGTTAATACAGATTTTGGATGATAAATGTCCATGGGTTGATCCCTGTAAATGATCCTATTTACTGCACACGCATGCTTTTGACCAGTTGTTACAATAAAAAAAAACAACCTTTGTGCAGCTTAAGGTTCCCTCCAGCACTGAATAGATCACACTTTTATGTGTGAACTGTTTTACAGATTAACTGAAATTCTGTAAAAATCTTGACAAACTTCCTAGTTGGATCTCGTCTCCCCCCGCTATGCTAGCAGCATGCTTGGTCAGATAGTGTAGTGACAGGATTATACAGCCAATGCATCGCTGATATTTTTTCTGTTACAGCTCAAAAGTAGTCATCCGCCAAACCCCATCCTGCATCCCCGCCACACCACCGGTTCCACACTGCTGCAAAAACACTCATGAGAGCACAAACAGTGGGATGATTTATCAGGTATATCTTGTCGGCTGCAGGAGCATGCTTAAACACAACCATTCAGAACTTTTCCATTATGCACCTTGGTATGCATGCAACAGACACAAGGTGGGGAAGAAAAAAAAACCACACCGACACACAGCTCCCTTGCTTGTCTGTTTCTCTCCGGCCGCAGGATTAGGGCAGAGGATTGAGCACAGCTGCTCCCCAACATCCCCCGATAAAAATCAGGCAATTTCACAGTCAGTGGCATTCTTTCATCCCCTAATCCACACCCCGCATACAGTATAGATGAACCTGACTGTGATGGGAACACACTGTTCTGAGCTGACCCCCCCCCCCCCCGAGGTCGATGTGGACACCTTCGATTGGATATAGAGACATTAAGCGAGTAAACTGTAGGGTGTATAGGAGCAATAAAGAAGAGTCCAGTTCAATGCAGCCTATTGACCCTCACTTCCTTTAAGCAGCTAATTAGCTGATTCTGATTCCAGTAACAGTCTAGCTAATACAGAAGTTCCATTGGCATATCAGTGACTAATGGCTTCTTCGCAAAGGTGAAAAGTAACTAAGTGCAAATATATTGTTACTTAACTTCCTTTTTATTTCCTGCTTTAAAGCCCCTGTGAGGAGTTTAGAGCTGGTTATGCAACAGACTGAAATGAATACAGAGGTATCTTTATGACCAAATAAAACCAACAGGAATGGGATTTAATATTTCTATAAAGTGATTTCTGATGTCTGTAACCACTGTCATCGGGTAGGTATCACTTGGGGCAGAGACAGTCTTACATTTGACTGGTTAAAAGATGAGGTTTTTTTTCTTCAGGAGATGCTACTAATGTTCAGGACGAATCAAGTAGAGATCAGACGCACAACTTTGTCTTCATCGCGCGCTGAGATCGACAAAGTGGAAAGTTCCTCCCGGGAGTTTTCATCTCTAACACGTATCTTTACTCAGAATTATTCTAAAAAAACGTTTTCCTTTAGCTTTAATGAATTTGAAAGAAATCACTGATTTATATTTTTGCATTGTTGTGCTCTACCTTCCAGACTGATTTCAACCTGCATGGTTGGGACAACAACACAACACATAACTGACTAAACATGAAGAAAATGACTTGATTTGAGTTGAAAAGTCTCCACATGGCGCTAAGTTAGCTTTAAACAGACTAGACAAACTATTATACTGTGTGTATATTTCAACACCTGTACTTTTTCATGTTTGCTTCAGAAAACAAGTGACTTGTCTTTTTGCACTAGTGTCTGTACCTCAAACATTTCTGATATACCACCTCTGTTTTTAAAATGCTAAAGTTAGAATACTTTGTGCCAATTGTTGCAGATTTCTATTGTTTTAAGCAGCATGAGCCTGAATCATACATGCCCCAACATAAACAGTCCACTCGTACTCCCAGTCCTGACAGGAGAAGCGATCGTTTATGGCGACTTTATTCAATGGGTTTCCTTGCTCATTGCATGCCATTATTCTTTATAGCTTCCCCCCAGTTTGAAGTCTTTCACTTCACCCATTTCAGCTGACCCCGACCTCCATTTGCAGAGCAATTCTTCACCAAAGTTCAATCAGGGGACAAAAAGGTACTCCACTGCAAAAAGGAAGAGAGAGAAAAAAAAAAGTATGAATCAAAAGCCAAGGAAGTGGAATTCACTGTACAAACGTCGGGGGAATTTCAATGTCCGCCGAGGCACAGTGGAGCTCTGTTCGGTCCCTCGCAGGCTGTGGGGTGAAAAGAGCAGCAGCCGCAGCAGGGTACATCTATTCTGACAAGTTCTTACACACAGTGAAAAGCCAGAGCAAGGTCTGTTTGTTTAAGAGGCAACAGAGCCAGCGGAAGGATGCTGCAGCTTTAATGCCATAACAGGATGATTTCGCTTTTAGAAATGAAGGTATCCCAGTTAAACTGAATGTCTCCAGTAAGATGTTTGAGCAGCAACAGTTCTGGGAAAGTTAAGTTTGAAAAAACAACAACACTGTCTTGAGTTGTGAAACATATCAACTTTTTTTTTTCAATTCTCTGTTTTTTCAGCAGAGATTTAGGTGATGGGGGAAAAGGAGCAACAGCCTATTCATATTCTTAAAAGATCAAACCACTAGAAAAATACAGTTATCTGTTGATAAATGACGTGAGAACACAGCGTTGCCGTCTTCTCCCTCCTTTTAATTCTGATTTATGCAGAAAGTTCTGGAATGTTTCTCAAAGAGGGCATCACCTTGCCTATATTTCCAAGTCCTTTTCACACACATCGCTTTGAAATGCTTAATGGATGTAGAAAATATTAACAGAAGGATTCTGTTTTGATCTCCAAGGCAAAATCCTGGTTTCTCCTAATCCTCCTCCGCAAAGGTCAAAGTTCAGGGATGTAGAGACTTCTCAAACTCAACTCTTGCCAGGAGTTTGAAAATAATATTACATTACTGTTGTGTTACTTATGATACCAGAGGAAAGTTGATGTGAATATTATTTTGAATTAAACCCTTTAGATGATGCACTTAATAATAGTAATGTGTAAATATAGCAGATAATGAAGCAGAGTTAGTAACACTTGAGCCTCCAGCGATTCTAAACTGCTTTGCTTTCTGTGTGAATTGTTACCCGATGGTGTTGCTTTGCTGTTCACCGACTATAAACTTACTAAACTGAAAATCATTAATTGTTTTAGTGCTGTCACACAAACTCATCATGTCCATGATGATTATTTTATTTCAAACGGCTCACATATGTTTGTATTATATTTGACTCAGTCATTTCCTACAAACTTGGTTATGTGGTTTTAAGGATATGAGCTTTGGGGATATAATCTACAATTAAGAATAGGGCTTTAGTATTTATTACGGTGAAGGAACATTCAGGCTTATTCATGTGTTTTTTTAAATAGTTTCTGTACTTCAGTGGATACATGGGTTTGTTTAGGGATTCTTTTCCGTCTGCCAAACATTTTTCACTGACTATTTGAGTTGAACATTTAGCAACCCTTTGAAGTCCAAAGTGACATGTTCTCTACTCTTCATGCTCGGGCTGCAACAACGACTCGTTAAAATCGATAATAAAAAAAACGATTTTTAAAAGGGATTTTTGGCAACTTACTAAATTATCGATTCGTTGTGATT